ACTTTGGGCTGGGCTGGCTTGTTCTTGCTTTTGACACCCCCCTCTTTACTTTTTGCACCCCCTGGCCCATTTTCTTTATATTTTTTTATTTTTGTATTTTAATTTCATTTCTGACTTTGTTTATTTATTTCCAAATATGAAAAATGCTTAAAAATATTTTCACATTTTTTTTACATTTATTTGGCATTTTATTCTATTATTTCTAACATTAAAACATTATTAATACTTTTTTTATTATTTTTTTAAATTTAAAAACAATGTAAATAATACTTTTACTTTCATTTCTTATTTTTATTCATACTGAAAATATTTTCTTGAATATATTTTATTTTTGTAAATATTTTTTATTTTTATTATTATTTGTACTAAAACACACTTTTTTTCTAATATATTTTATTTTGTACATATTAATATATTTTTTGTATATAAATAATATAATATATTATTTTCTTAAAAGAATTAGGGTTTACCCCTTTAATAAATAAAATTAATCCTTTTTTATTTCTTTATTTCTTTATACTTCTTTACATTAAAAATACTTTACATACATGAAAACTTTTTTTTTTGCATAATACATTTTACTTAATATTTATTTATTTTGTTTATTTAAATATTTTACATTTAAATATTGATTGCATTTGAGATTCAATTTGGATGTAATAGTAACTAGGGTTTATATTTCTTGTCAAATACCCCCTATTCAAAAATTGTACCCCCATCCCCATAATCATGTTGTAATAGCTTAGAATTTAAATTCTCGCACTTAACGCTTTCAATTATGCCATGATTAGAGAATTAGGGTTTGTATGTCAAAATCCAAATTAACAAGTAGTTTGACCTAATCAAAGACAAAAATGCATGAAAAACAAACACAATGCACACTTGCACCCCTAGGGTTACAATCCACTTGTTGCCTTCAAAAATGGGTCATGGTATGCATGTTAAGTACTTTGGCAAAACAAAATCAAAACAAAAGATCATAGTCCCTCGATGTCTCTATCTTGGTTGCGTAAACAAAAATGATCAAGTCCCTCAAGAAAATTGCCAAAGATACTTGACACAATTGCTATCATAGTCTATACGATGACCCGCGCCTGTCCCGTTTAACATCTTAACACAAGGTTGTTCACCAAAAGCAATGGCGAAACAACAATGTTAAAAGGGTTAAAAACATAAGAAAGTTCTTTGAGTAAAATAGGGTAGATAGCTCTTAGTTACTTGATCAAAAGCTTGCAAAAACATCCTTGCTATTTTCAAACACACTTCACAACACAATTTCAAAGATCCAACTTTCAAACATTGAAAACTTTTCAAAAGACAAAAACACCTTTGTATATATTCAAACAAGAATCATTACAAAGGTTGCCACAACGATGGCCTCTTTTAAAAACATATTTCAAAACCACACACAAAGCACCATTTCAAACAATTGAAGAGCACCATTTCAAACAATTGAAGAGCACCATTTCAAACAATTGAAAAGCAAAGCAAGTGATCTAAACAAGTAACTAAGAGCCCATGGATAACCATGGATGAAAAGGGTGCTTGCACCTTCCCTTTTCATAATCTACTCCCCGAACCCAAGAAAACATCTCAAAGGTCTTTCCTGTGCTTTTTGACCTTTCCTTAGGATAAAATAAAAAGTCGGTGACGACTCTTGCTAAACCGAAACATTTGTGAACACAAACGCAAAACCCCAAGTCAGTTCTCCCACCGTATCACACACTTGATCTAGGAAATGAAAGAAAAAGAAACAAGAAAAAAGTGGTTTGAATGTTTGTTAGGGTTTTTGTGAAGAAAAATGATTTATGATGACAACTAATTAAATAAAACTTTAAAATCTAATTAATTTAAAAATTGAAAAAAAAGAGTCAATTAATTAAATTATTAAAAGGTTAATTATAAACCTAAAAATCTAATTAATTAGAGTTTTTTTAAAAGAGATTTATTTTTAGGTTAGTTAAAAATAAATTAGGTTAAAAAGAATTAGGGTTAGCCAAAAAAATAGGATTAGGGAAGAAAAATCAATGACAAACAAGGTTAGAGACAAACAAATAGAAAAAATACCAAGGGTGGGTGTTGAACCCACGCCCTTTTCCTTCACAACAACATGGTTTGCCACTGCACCAGGCATACGCTGGTGTCTAGGGAATGGATGCAACTCAATACATATTAAACCCTGCAAGAATTGAGAAAATATGAAACAAAACGTCAAAAGGTAGGGATCGAACTCACACCCTAAGAGACCAATGACTTAACGCGCGCTTCCTTGCCACTGGGATGGCTGTTACATCCCGTATGAGAACGGAAACCAATAAATATAAAATAAACATAATAGATTGGGCCGGAAAGGTGTCAGATCCCTAGCTCCAGTCGTCTTCTCTAGCGACTTCATTTTTTGTTCCTGGAAAATAACAAACATTAGTGGTTCAAAGGGATCCTACCCCCCTAATTTGACCCTTGCAAATTTAATGGAGGCCATGGTTTTTGTTGAATCATCCTGTAAGAAGAGATATAAAGACAACAAAGTTAATCGGTGCAAGAATGGAAACACATGATTCTGGCATCATAGGGGTCATACGATGGTTCAAACTTGTATATCTACATCTCAGAAGCACGTTAGCAATGTTAATTTTGATTAAAGCACAATAAAAACGAAAATATGAATTTCATGCAAGAATGAAAACCGCTGATACATGGTTACGAGTTTCAGGCCTCTTGGATCATCACAATCGGTCCATACTTACTTTGTACTGTCTCAAGGATTGATTGGAACAACTATTTGGCCTTGAGGAAGGCTGGAAAGAAGGGTTTCGATTTGCCCTAGTTTTGACAAATTTTAAAATTTTTGGAATGTGGTTTCTTGCAAGGTTTCGTGTGGTCCTGTTGTCTGAATGTGAGGAATATATATATAGAGGAAAATTAGGTCAAGAAGAATGGGCTTAGACCTTTGTATGAAAACTTTTTATTTTGTTTGAAATTAGAACTTGAATAAGACAAAGAAGATTTGATGCCAAGTAAAACTCCACACGGTTTTTGTATAATCTCGGGGCCCCAAAATAAATCAAATCTTAAGCCCTTTAAGTCTTGCACCTCCCTTTGATATTTTTTTATTTAATTTGACTTTAAATAAATAAAAATCAAAATAAATAAGATAAAAATTATCATGGTGCATGAATGAGTTTAGAGGTCCATAATAAGGTCAAGAAAACATTTGAACTCTAAAAGATAAACCTATTTGTCCAAAAATTCAAGTTTAATCAAATTGGATTTCACGCATTTTCTCAAAATGGCCTAATTTGTGCCATCCATAAATCTCTCAATTTTTATCATATGAAGATAATCTTGGACTTTTTGAAAAGCTCAAGATGTCCCCTACAATCTCAATGTTAATCAGTTTTTCATTTGAAGACTTTATCTTGATGTAAGTTGCCTTGATAAAAAGTGTCTTTTTATTGACTTTTGAAATGACCTATAATATTTTGGTCCATATCTCTCAAATGAAGTATTTTTGGACTTGAGCTTAGAGAGACAAAGTTGTAAAGAATTGAACTTCCTTCAAAATGAGCTTTGGTTGATAAAAATCTGATGAAGCATGTGAAAGTTGTGCCTGGTGAAAGTTCAGTTGACTTCTCTTAAAGAAAACCCTAATTTAGCATCTTTTGACTTTTAATGAATCTTGAGTTTTCTTGATGAATCATGATCAACCCTTGATCAAATGATGAATGTAACTTCAAAATATTGAAGTTGAACAAAAATCTTGAGGTTTGACTGTATGTTGATCACAATTGACTTTTTATCCAATACAGTTGATTTTCAATCATCTGAGCAATTGACTGAGCAAATTTGTGATGTAAGACTTGAAACTTTGAAGTATATGAGAAACCATAAAATCCACTTGAGACATTAGAAGTTCAATTTCCTCTGAGAAAACCAAAACCCTAATTATAAGTCACTGCTTGAGAGGGGAATTTGTCTGATCAATTCTTGAATAGTTTTGAGTACTTGAGCACCTTAAATCAATTTGTCTTTGAAAAATTAGAGGATAAATTTTTGAATATAACAAATATCAAACAAATTTAACATTTTGAAAAGGAAAGACATACAAATTTGCAAGAAACCCTATCAACAAAATATTTAACCAACACAAGAATATAAAGTTGGAACACTTAAATCATACCTTATGTTAAAGAAATACTAAACTTCGATAACATAAATTCACACCTAAAACATTCAGATCTCTTCAACCTGAAAAAACAAAGGAGAAAATATGTTAAAAAAAGATATGGATTAGGATTGAAAAAATATGAATTTTCATTAGTCTATGAATCTGTCAACATTTTAAAATTGAAGAGATATGATATGGATTAGAGTTGAAGAAGACAAATCTGAGAATTAAAAAAAATAGAGAAAAAAGTAAAAGAAGAGAGATAGAGAGGACGTGAGAAAAAAAGAGAAAAGAAAAATTTTAAATTTAGGAAAGAGAATGAAAGAGGTTAATAAATCAAAGTTTCTCATAGAAGTTATACATATATTTTATTTAATAATAAAATGAAATGAATTGGGAAAAGAATATAGTCATGATAATTTATATGATAAATAGAAGCAATGAAACGGTAGCTTTTCATTAGATACTCCTATCTATGCTTACACAAAATGAGACTGTTGTTGGTTATATGAATAGGGGGGAAATGCAAGTATATATATAGAGAGAGGGAGAGAGAAAAGGCAAACTCCTATCAAAATGTCATTGGAATATGTAGATTGTCATAATGGCATTGATTGCTTATTCAGTTTCTCCATACCTAACCCTACTTCTCCCACCCTCCACTCTTTACTCTCTTCTTAACTTCCCTCAATTAATTCCTCACAGACCTTTACCTTCCAAACCTCAAATAGTAGTTGCTCCAGTACACAATACATGCTTCTCTACCCTTATCAAAATTCATCAAAACCAAACCAGAAACCACACACAACTGTGTAATCCATTGATCTTAATGATGGAGAAAGGAACTGGTATTGTAGTTACAGCTACAAGATCTCCAATGCAACTTATGATGGGAGCTTCTGTTGCTGCAACTGGTGATCAGGAGCTAGAAGGTAACAAACCTACCTTCCTACGCACTGCTGAGACTTTCTTGCGTCTACTTTCTATTGGTCTTTGCGTTACAGCTCTTGTCCTCATGCTTAAGAACTCCGAAGAAAACGATAATGGATCTCTCTCCTACACTGACCTTGGAGCTTTCAGGTATATAAATATTTTACAGAAAACATTTTGCATGTGAGTATTTTTAGTAACAAAATGATGGTGTGCAGGTATTTGGTACACGCCAATGGTGTTTGCGCAGGTTACTCTCTACTTTCAGCAGTTCTTGTTGCTGTCCCTCGTCCCACTATATCTCGTGCTTGGACTTTCTTCTTCCTCGACCAGGTTGGATATATAATCCCTTTATATTTCAAGATGCGTTTGAGACTTTGAGCATGCAAATGGCATAAGAAAACTGAAATATTTCTGTGTATATATATGCTCTCTTTCTTAGGCATTAACATACATAGTTTTGAGCGCGGGAGCTTCCTCGATGGATGTGGTGTTCCTGGCTGAGAATGGAGACAGTGCAACAGTGTGGAGTTCAGCTTGTGGTTCTTTTGGTCAGTTTTGTCATAAGGTCACAGCTTCAGTAGCTATCACGTTTGTAGCACTGGTTTGCTATGTGATTCTTTCTCTCATTTCCTCTTACAAGCTGTTCAGCAAGTTTGATGTTCCACCAAGTAGCACTGACCATATTGCTCCTGCTTTCCGTGGCTAGCTTAGCCTTATGTTTGTTGTGTTATAGGATGAAATTTTAGTAGTTAATTTTCTCAGTTTTATGCTCAAGATAGATATGGCCAATAATGTTAAATGTTAGTATGTATTAACAAACCTTTGTTTATTATAGTAAATCATGGATCACTTTAACCTGCTTCAAAATTTGACATAAATGTGGATATTATATATTTGTCTAAGTCATTTAGTAATATTTAATTTGATTTTATCATTTTTAATTAGTTTAAAAGATTTATTATTTTTAAAATATTTTACCTAAAGTAGTTGTACCCAACTTTTTTATGATGAGCAGTGTCAACTTTATTACTCAATAAAATAAGCCAGTAACATCGGCCACATGAACTGTGAGTAATAAATTAGTTTAAGAATATTTCAGTTTACCATATTATTAGGAGTTAGGTAGACCATAATTATAAATTGTCTTTAATAACTATAAATTCACCCTACTTTATTAAAGTGGCGTTGGTTTTCATTGTACAATTTTAACTTATGAGAAGCACTACAAAAATTAACATGTTAGCCTCAAAATTAAACATGTCAGTTTTAATTTTTTGTATTATAATTTTGTTTTTGATGAGATATAAAGAGATTTCCGGACGAAACTTTTGGTAGAATAATTGAAATTTTCAATACAGATTAAATTTTTGATACATTTATGTCAAATTTCCGATAATAGTAAACTTTTGGTGGTGCGTTTAAAAATTCTGATTAATCGAAAATTTCAAATTTTGATGTCAGTATTAGAAATTTCAGTTATATTGAAATTTCCGTTAGCTTTTAATTTCAGATTTTTTTAATAGTTGAGATTTTATCGACATATTTGGAGGGTTATGATTGCACCGACAAATTTGTGTGGTCTAGAATGTATCATTATTTGTATAAATAAGGGTCTAAGGTTATAGGGTAACACATCTTTAAAAAATGTCTTTTCCTCAATTTCAGATTAAGGAGAAGTGTATTACAACGACAACAACCCTCTTGTTGAATTCAAGCTTCCAGGTGACTATGAATCCTTTGCCACCTTGAAAGAAACGTTGAATGGTTTGCTGCCTGATTATGAAAACAGAAGGGTGACAAAGGTCGAATTTTGGGAGGATTGGATTGATACAAATGGAATGGTTAAATACAACCTAATCGAGTTGAAGAATGATGAAGATGTGAAGTCCATGTGAAAATGATTTCGATGTAGGATAACTAGAGCTTCGATTGAGTTGGACACGCGGATTTGAAGATTCGTCGACGACATAATGAAGATGCTAAAGCATCCATAATTGTTCACCCAACTATTAAATAAATATATCAAAATCTGAAATAAATCTGAGCCATTAATTTAAATGCAATGGTTATCATTAAAAGTTCTCAGTTCTCATCATAGCTAAAGTTCTCATTTGGTACATCTTATATATATATATATATATATATATATATATATATATATATATATATATATATATATATATATATATATATATATATATATATATATATATATATATATATATATATATATATATATATATATATATATGAGTGGGGATCAACTTACTCAAAGAGTAAGTATTTTTAACTTACTCCATCATCTTAGCCTTTAAGTTAGATTTAATCTAATGGTTAAAAATTATAATTAGAATTAATCGTTCGATTAAATCTAATTTAAAGACTAAGATTGTAGAGTAACTTAAAAACACTTACTCTTGGAATAAGTTGATCCCCACTCATATATATATAGAGAGAGATCATGTTTGGCATAAGCTCTATTCTTATTATTTCTACATTTCTTAACTTATGAGAAACAAGGAAAAGGGAGTGGAGAAATCATTATTTCCATCCCTATAATTCATAAAGATCATAAGTAAGAAAGGAGAAAGAAGGAGCTTATAAGCAAGAAAGAAGAGGAAGAACTCATGTTCATCATCTTTATGTTTCATTTTCGCACCTTTGGTACAACTTCTACGAAAAAAGGTAATAACTCCTTACTCGTAACTCAAAATTAAGCGATTATGGATATTTTGAAAAGTAGAAGAAATTCCCTTCAATTTTCATATATATTTCGTTAATTTCTTATTTGTGATGAGGGATATAAACGTGTTTGAAGTTGAAATATTCATATTGAAAGTGGGTAAGAAGAAGTTACGGATTTGATGACTATGGAAGTGGATCTTTGATCAAGAAAGAACCTTAAGAGCAGCATTATCATCATCCAAACATTCCCATGAATGCAAGGTGAGTTTCATAGTTAGATGCTTGGGTAGGAATGGGATGAATTGCATGTTAATGGGGTAGTGAGATGATTACGTGCAATGTATTTATGAATGGATTTTCATTGGATTCTTGTGTTGCATGTGCTGATTTTGATGTGTTTTAGTTCTCTATTATGTTGTTGCATGTTAGGGGTGAGTGGATGATGAATTGAGAAGGAAAAAGTGGGGTTCTATTTAGATAGAGGAATACCACTTATTTTGAGAACCTTGAAGCGTGTGAAATGTAGGATTTTGAGTGTTTCATGGTGATTATTCCTTACATGTTAAATTTATGTTTTGTCATGAACATTTGCATGTTTTAATGAATTAATGATATGTTAGTTTGGTAAAATTAATGTTATTACATGTTTGTGATGTTATGATATGTTAGTATAGATTGCAATGTGTTTGGAATAGAGAAAATATGAGAAAACAGGTGAATTTTTGTTTCTTTACTCAGTGTAATCGGTTACATACAAAGCGTAACCGGTTACCTGTGAAAAACAAAGTTTTTGGACTATTTTTTCTACAAGTAACTGGTTGCATGCCGAGATAACCGGTTACATCACTGATTGTGTGAAATTCAGAAATTTAAAATGGTGTATCTTGAGCTCTGTAACTCTGATTTATGTCCAGTCGGAAGCGATGAAAAGCTAGTTAAAAGAGCTATTTATATATGTCTTAATCTGAGTTGTATGATGTATATAAATATAAGAGATAATAATTTAATTAGTACTCAAATTGATTGAGTAGTCTACTATGAATATATCTAAGTTAGTTGATACATTAAAGAACTAATTTCATTGTTATGGAAAATGACTATTGAATGGAGAAAACCATGCATGTATATTAGTAATATACTGAAATTATTTGATACACCAAATTGACTAATTTTGTTGTTATGGAAAATGACTGCTGAATGTAGAACATCATGCATATATGTTAGTAATATACCGAAGTTAGTTGATACACCAATTGACTAATTTCGTTGTTATGGAAAATTACTACTGAATGGAGAAAATCAAGCATGTATATTAATAATGTTTAATGAATGAGTATAAATTATGACATCATGCAATGAACTATCTCATGAATTATTACTCCCAACAATGTAAGATAGACTGAATAATATTATGGCCTCTCATACTTAGTATGATGCGATATATCACATAAGCTGAATAAAGTGATGGCCTATCATACTTAGTATGACGCGATATATCACATAGAGTAGATAAAGTGATGGCCTTTCATACTTAGTATGATGCGATATATCATATAGAGTGGATAACATGATGGTCTCTCATACTTGGTATGATGTGATATATCACATAGACTGAATAACATGATGGCCTCTCATACTTGGTATGATGTGATATATCACATAGACTGAATGAAGTGATTCCCTCTCATGCTTGTTCATGATGTGATATATCACAAGAACTAAATAAGTAACAGTGTCTCTCGTGTTTAGGCATACCACATTTGGTTAATTAAGAATTTATATGAATTATTTGTATGATGGTTGTAACACAGTGGGAGAACTGACTTGGGTGTTTTGCGTTTGATCATAATTGTTGCGGATAGCAAGAGTCGCCACCGACTTTTATTTTATCCAATAATGAAAGGTTAAAAAGAACAGGAAAGATCTTTGAGATTGTTTTCTTGAGTTCGGGGGGTAGGTTATGAAAAGGGAAGGTGTTAGCACCCTTTTCATCCGTAGTTATCTATGGGCTCTTAGTTGCTTGCTAGATCACTTGCTTTTGTTTGAAAGTGTGCTTGTGGTGTGGGTTTTGAAAGTATTTTGAAAACGTCTTTGTAATGGCTCTCGTTTCTATAAGAACGCGTAGAAAGTGTTATTTTGAAAATAGTTCAAAGAGGTGTTTATGGAATGTGTTTTTGAAAGTGATTTTGAAAATGTATCTTTGTAATGGTTCTCGTTTCTATAAGAACGCGTACAAAAAGCTTTGTCTTTTGAAAATATTTCAAAATGAAAGTGTGGGTGTATAAAATATTTTTGTTGTGAGCAAGCGAGCAACTAGGAGCAACCTACCTACTCAAAAGGTCTTAAATGTTCTTTTCCTCCTCCTTTAGATGTTGTTATCTTACCATTGTTTTGGTAAGAAGCCCCATCATCGGATGTGAAGGGACGGACATGGGACGTTTGTATAGTCATTGAAGGTAACCTATGGGACATTTAGCAATGTCGTTTAGGTACTAGATCATTTACCGAAGGCAACATTGAGGGTCATCGAGGGACTACGATCTTTTATCGAGGGTCTTTGCTAAAACGCCCATATTCGAGGGATATATCTATTTTTTCGAGGCAACAAGTGGAATTATCCTAGGGGTGCATGTGTGTGAGTAGTGTGTTTGATTGCATGTATTTTGTATTTTAAACTTTTGGTTATCTACTTGTTATTTTTATCTTGTCATACACCCTAATTACTAACAATGTATGAAAGCAATAAAAATGCAGAAAATAAATCCTAAGCTATTACATCATTTCAGGGACGGGGATACATATTTACAAATGGGGATTACAAGAATTTAAATCCTAATTATCTATTACAACCATATTGAGTTGTACAATACAAAAAAAGGAAATGATTTGTTTTAAAAAAGGGTTTTTTGGTCTTAATAAATTAAAAGAAAAATAATTAGTTAATAAAAAGGATTTTTTATATTAATAAATATAGTATTAATGCTAAAAATAATAAAAATAAGAAAGAAAAGGAAAAATAAC